CTTCTATTCGACTACTCAGCAAGCTCCTGTAATTGCCATCAAACTATGACAGCAGATGAGGATACCGTCCTTTATCTACAAACATGGCGAATCCATGGCGAGGCCTACGGTAGCACGAAAAGGCAGCCTATCAAGCGCTGCACCTTCCATTGAGATCGAGTTTCAGAAAAAAAAAGCTTTTAGAATGCACTACCGATTTTAGGTACACTCAACTTGTTTAAGTTATGGACAAAAGAGTTCCAGGCTTATGATACGCTCACCACCCTGGTACCCTCAGGGCTTATTCCATTCGACTGGTGAGAAAGTTCCCAACCTGGTCTCTATCTTTCAAGGGTCTCTTCATGCTTGTGAAGCCTAGCGTCGTGGAGTGGGTGGGCAGATCACATTTTTCGAGAGCTCCAAAAGCTGCGAAAGAGCCCGTGGGGTAGAGGTCCAACTTGCTTTGCGTTGGAGAATCGCATTCGCTGGTGATATGCTAGGCGCAAAGAGTGTCATAATCGTAGACGATCCAACTCTCATTCCTACTACGGAGGTTTATCCGTAACCCTTATGAGGCTAGTCGACTAGGGAAGTAGTGTTTGCTCTTGGTGCGGTGTTGCTGTTGTAAACGTTGTGACCGTTGTGTTCGCCGCAATGGAGAGACACCATCCAAAAAGATGATAGTTCGAGAGAAATACTGTGAAAATGACATATGGCAACTTGGCTGTGTGTGCACTATAATCAGAATGGTTCTTGCCGTCGGGCACTTCTGTTGCTTTACACTTATTTTTTGAGGTCTATTTCTCGAATACTGGAACAATATGAGCGTCCTTTTTTAGAGTAGAAGCTTGAAAAGTGAGGAAGCATTTCTCCCCAGCTCTTCTTTAAAGCCAAAAACTGTGATTAGGAAAGGTGAAAAAATGGGAAACCGTGATTTTCCTCTCCTGGTTTTGTACGACTACAAACTTGAAGGAAGGGCTTTGGAATAAGCTCGAAATATCTTAGCTGCTTCTGAAAGTAATGACACCGGAAAATGGCAATTAAATGATACGTCATATGAAACGTTGGAGACAGCTTGAAGTTAAAGGCACTGTTCACGATAAAAATGTTTTCTGTGTTTTCCCCCTAAGAGCGCCCAGTGGCCCCCAAGGGTGAAGGAAGGACGCTGTCGAATCCCAAAACTCAGCAGCCAGGGAATAGCGGGAGCCCCCTTACAGGATCGCCTTCCCGCCCCTCGATCGACGTTGCGTCAAACGAGTGTCGATGCGATACAGACTGCAAAATTCCTTCTAGGACCAACACACAACCAGCTGAACGCCGGGTGATGGGGCGATGTTTTTCTCCCATTCTTTTTTCCTCTGTTAGTCTTTTTGCTGCTGCAATCCTTATTCTAGTTTTCTACCTCAGGAGGCTGAAAAAAGTGAGCTGTTTTTACTGTTACTAGCTTTTCTGTTAACTTATGCTTATGAGTGAATGAATTTCAGCTTACCGTAGCCAGCTATTCGCACCAGAAACCACACGTACGCAATGACACTGTATAGCTCGTGTAAACGCCCCGTTCTTCTTCATCTTCTGGCCTTGTTCTCGTCCAGCCCCCTTGTTAACGCTTTTTTGAATCTTTTTTCACTTTGCAAACACTGATTCACGCAGTTTCTTCGCCTTCAACGCACTATTTTCCATCTAATTTTATATTTTTCGTCATAATCTGGATTACCCATAAGTATCGTGATCTAAACCTCTAACCAACGGTTTAAGAGGCCAGCCTGGGCAAAGAGTAACTCATTGGGAGAAATGATCGGTGCCAATTTCAGATGCTTGCTCACCGATTCGGCAGTAGGACTCGGAGCCTCCAAAGGCACAGACCAAATCGAATGAATTTGATAGAAAAAGAGATTTCTGTTAGTGGGTGCCTCACGAAACGACAGCCTTGCAAATGACAATGCTCAAAGAGGAGTACTCGAGGCCTCTACATCGCACAAAGATCCAATATTTTTGAGAACGAAAACAATTGGTTGAGGAACCGTGGCAGACGTGTGTTTTACTCAATTCCCATTTCGAATAAAAGGTTATATCTGAACTAAATTCGCTATTGGGAATTAAATGTTCAGAATTTCGAGAACAATTCACAATTGAAACGTGGTATATCATAGATATGTCATAGGTACTGGTAGGAAGTCGAAACTTTTGGTGTTTCGTGGGAAAATTGGCCGCAGACTTTTTTAGGAGTATTTATGCTACTTCATGACAGCCACAGCTTTGACGCAGTCAGATATCTCACCGTTTTCCCTTCATTATTCAAAATAACTGAAGCAACCATACTGTGCCCTACCGAGTAGACGGCTTCATCCATGCAGATGAAACAGAATGGTGTCGCACTGAGGATCAGTGTGATAACAAGCCGGAGCCTGTAGTAAGTCCTTTCACGAGACGTCATCTTCCACGAATTTCTCGGGATGTACTAAATAGAGCATTATTCGTTTCTACTGGAAAAGCGCTAGGAACTTTGCAATGTGGGGTACAAGACGCTCTCGGTTAGGTCCACTCGAATGATCAAGCGATATCCTGTACCACTGAGTACCTTTTCATTCTCGTCCTTGTTCAATGGCAATGCTTTCGTTCGCCCACGTAATGCCATATCTAAGTCGATGTTTTCAAACTCGCGTGTCAGATAGGTATTTTCAAAGTCTTCTCGGTAATTGAATTTGAACGTGAACAAAGCTGTCTGAAAAGAGTTTCTTCGCCCAACAGTACACGATTACTTTGTTAGCCTCACTGTGATGAAAGGCCATAGCATTGTTGCTGGTATGAAAACCCATTTGATTGCTGTTTGAATGGCTTCAAAGAACAGGATATATTGAGCAACGACGTCGTGAAGGCTCTTCTGAATTTTCTGAAAAGCATGATTCAACTCACGTGGTTTCGATCCCTTCTACAAGAATGGAAAATTTGCTAAACTTTCAGGGTCACAGAAAGTAGTGAACTCCTTTTTTGCCAGAAACTATAGAGGCACTCTAGGGGGTATTTCAAGGGAGCGACGTCATGGGGATAGGGATGGNAACAGGATATATTGAGCAACGACGTCGTGAAGGCTCTTCTGAATTTTCTGAAAAGCATGATTCAACTCACGTGGTTTCGATCTTCTACAAGAATGGAAGTTTGCTAAACTTTCAGGGTCACAGAAAGTAGTGAACTCCTTTTTTGCCAGAAACTATAGAGGCACTCTAGGGGGTATTTCAAGGGAGCGACGTCATGGGGATAGGGATGGTGGATAAAAGTAATCCAGCTATCCATAATCCTTTAAACCTGAATCAGGAGATAAACAGGAATTTTTCCTAGAATTTTCGATTGCATGAGTAAATCATGAAGTCGACAGCTTTATATGGTACGGTAAGGGTTGTTGAGATTAGACAAACCACATTTCTTCAATGTTTCGCGTGTATATAAAACTCGGAGCACTACGCACCCAGCTATGCTGACTACTCTGACAGCTTTTACATCTTTTCTATACAGTTCTGACCTCAACGACTCCTGTAATCCTTCGAGAGCGAAAACAAATGCTTCAGCAAGTACTGGATCACAGTTAAAATAAAGTTGAAGGATAAAGTTTTTGGCGTTAATCAATCCCGTCTGAAGGATGCGCCCCCGCACTCGACTTCCATTCAGAATCGTAGTGGCGCAATGAGTGCGTATGTGGCCTATACAATGACTGGCGGTGGCCAGCCAATATACAAGACAGCGCTTTTATCCTTCCGGGCGTGTCTGGTAGCAATTCACCGACCCCGGAGGGGTGGAAGGCTTGGTTGGCCTAGACGGGCATCGATCCGTGATTTAAACCCCTGACTGTGCGTATGATATAGTACGCCACTAGCCACTGCACCACCTCCGCCCCTGGTTTCGTATCCATAATATCTTCATGAGGAACACTACGATACGATTTCATTGCCAGCGAAGGAGAGTGCATTCTGCTGCTGACTGTCACTACCATATGCAGGTAAATGATGAATATCTTATGAAATCTTTTATCGTTGAGCCCATCTTCAAGGCATGATTGCTACGACTTTGTAGTAGAGTTGATGCAGATTCTGCACGGATAGATTCAAAACATTTGGTTCCTGAACGTATCTGTGCCGGTTATTTCAAAGGAATAAATATTTTACAAACCTTATGTACTGTCAGAATCTCAGCACCTTCGTCTGTTTTATGATAATGGATGTTCAAGTTCCTCATATCTACGATTTCCTTTTTCGCAGTTTCTAATCCTTCGCCCACCTAAAATGAAAACCGTTACAGCCGACACTGAATTTTCACTGGGTGCAGCATACGACGAGCACTAACTCAATCATATGCAGCTGTTTACTTTCCCTGCACTCCTGTATTTATACATAGGTTTGCAGAATAGTATTTTAATTTGGCAGGTATGTGTTAAGCACTGACCCACAATTATTCACAGATAAACCATGAAATGGGCCCATTGGATTTTTCTAAGCGAGCGAGTGTTTCTATCCCTCTGTCACATCAAGAAAGCTATTTTTTCGAAGTATGCACATCAGATCAGCGGTGTAGAAGTGGTCTGTCAAGTTGACAATCAGCAATGCACAACATTTCGCCGCATAACTATTTCATTTCCTTGTTCTTTACTTTTCTGACTTGATGATTTGTTAACTGGCGTTATTCCGTCGCAGCCCATGATGCCAGTACGGGTTTGAGTTCCGCCCGAGGCCAAGGTTTAGCCCATAACTCGCCAATCTTGTGCAACTCTCTACTTTTGACTTCATAAGTAAGTTCAATACGAATGATTCGCTTCTACTTCGCTTTTTCTCCGTGCATATCTGTGGGCAGTCTGTGGTAAGTGATGGCGCTCAGGTATTCGGTAATTCATAAAAGCGAGCTAATATAGTCTTCCTCATAAGTCTTACACCTAAAAGCATGCAGCGACATGACATTACTGTGGTCATAGAAAATGATTTTCGCTAAGGCTGTTTCTCTTGTAACTGTTAGTTTTAGCTCTTTTTTATTTCCCATGTTCGTATGCGACCTTATTTTCGCGCATGTTCACTGTTGTTTACTCTTTCAAGGTTTCCCTTTCAAGTTCTTTCCTTAACGTCTGTGTATAATTGTGCGTTATGCAATTGCCTCAGTGTTTTTGGTTTTTTCCTTCCAAACTAAGATTTTTCATAAAAGGTTCTGAGATTTGCTTAGCCTCTGGAAGCGCTTCAGGATGATTTATGGTTTAGGTTAGTCTCAGTCTTGCGATGTCAAAGGTCGAGTCCATGAAAATTCTCCACATGCAATGGGAATATTATGCGAAGCCAGGGTTGATGAAACAACATCAATATTCATTCTATCACTCTGTGATGATACTTATTACCTACTTATTTCTTAGAAGAGCAAAACAGGGAGACAGTTTTCAAGAATTATTTATCAAGCGAGAAGTTAGGGAAACTGTTCAAACAGTCCGTGCGCACTGACTGGAGGAGAGAATCGCAGCTACCAATTTCGATTTCACATAAAGAATTTCAAGTACACAGGTAGTAACGATGTAAGGAAGTTGCTGGAAGCGTGCATGACACGCAAGCACGATCCCGTTTTTACCCTCTGCACTGAGTTGAGGCTATACGGGTGAGATCGTAGTTGTCAGTGAAATCCTAAATATTGCTGGCAATTGCAAAAATTTCGTAAAATGACAGTGTTGGTAATGCCTCAAGAGATTGCCTCATCCCTTCAAACCACTAATTTTATCACGATTTCTGAAATTAGCCCCCTGTGATGGGGCGTTATATAGGTAAGCTATGTAGCTAGTTTAGGGTGCAGCGCTTTGTTACAGAGCATCTGCGTGTCTATAACAAAAAGTCCGACTTTGTGGTTCAAAATGGTTAGTTTATCGGCACTGTAAGACGCACTTCTTTCATTGTCTCAGCTTGTAGAAAGAACGACTCTTCAGCTGTTGATGTTGCGACCGAGAAGAAATTCTTGGACAGTAGAAAGTAGCCACTCATTATCACTGAAATGCGGAATCATATGGACACCATCGGTTTTCTCACTCGAAAGTGTCGGCATGTTGATAATGTCATTATTGTGATGTTGCCCCTTGAAAGAAATTGGCCTCAACTGCTCGAATTTTCCCTCACTTCACTTCTCTATCCCTAAGAAGGGTTCCTCGAGTCGAATTGTCGTCATTACTCTTGTAAGGGGTGAAGATTGAATAGCCTTTCACGTAGAGGTCATGAAATACCATTTGTGCATTTCCTGAAAGCCTCTCGTACTTTAGCGACTACCTAAGATGGCATTTATCAGCATACCCATTAAGTTGCTTCCACGGATGCTGCTAGGCTGGTTCAATATCGGCCATGTCGGAAAGTTGGGCAACCGATGAAAAGTGTTAATCACAGTACAGTGACCAATTTTAAGCCTTTCACTTCTTTGAGAACCATGGTTTACACTCTGTCGAAGCCGCTTCTTTGATTGAATTTCGGTTTATGAGCTCCAATGAAGGCCTCCATGGATATTATCTATCAGTCAGTAACAGGCTGGGAACCGGTAGTAAACGTCTTCAAAAAACAAGAGACGGGACATAGCCTCTGTAGTTCATTGGTCGTATGTGAAGCTGCAGGTTTGAGTGACGGACGGACGGCAAACCTTGTTTAGCGGCAGATGGGAAGTTGCAAACACTGCCCTCAATTCCAGCGCCAGCCGATTCGCATACCTCAAAGAATGTGATATACAGTAGAAGAAATTGTAAGAAACAACCTACTTCTGACCAAAATAGCTCATACCGAGCTGCTCTTTTTAATGAGCTCACAACCAGGAAGACTGATAGCGTTGTCGGTGGACACACAGGAGATAAACATCTTTTCGAAGAAGTTTTTGCACTGGAAAACCAATCAGTCAACACGCGCTATCACTAATGTATATCCCAGAAATTGGAAGGTACCGTTCACCTAGTCACGACCTCTTCTCAACATTTCATTCTAAACTCTCCAACAATTCGGCATTTTTTTTTCGGGACTAGTTCTAGTTTTCTCTTGGGACTTGGAGGACGTTCCTAGCAGCTTTCAGAAATGTTAGCAGCATATAAACATCAAAATTTAAGTAGAATCTTTAGGAGAGATCGTGATTAAAGGCACAGATCGCGGTACTAATTTTGTTTATGATTCAGTGAAAAATTAATTTTGGAGATTGACGACATTCCTGTCTGTCAACCCACTACTGCATGGGCTAGTAATTCGATTTGAATAATTCAAAGTTAATAGCTGATAGCATAGAAAAGAGCTAATGAACCATGTATGAGGTGATGTGAAAATAAGGAAATCAATTCAAAAAATTGGTCATGGCTTACGCCCCTGGAGGGAAAACTCAGCCAAAAAGTGGGATGTTTAAAAGCGATCACTACTAAGTAAAAGTACTTCCTTGCTGCCCCCTTACTATGGACTATAGATATTGGGTTATTTCCAAGATTGGCTTACTTTCGTCAATCCATATTTCGTCGCAACCCTTAAATTCAACTCAGGCTAAAAGCGTCATTGAGGGGAATACAGCATCCCTGAGTGCATATGAATATCTTTTGAATAATGTTCAACAGGAATTGGAATAGTACAATTATGTAGGAGCAATTTTTACTTTGAAAAGGTTGTTACTCATGACCCAATCTACAAAATATCTTGGCTTCCGACTTACAATTGAATATGGCTTTTTCATGAAGCGTTTGCACGAATTAGTCAGATTTGACAATGCTCGAAATTGTCGTCGAATTGATTCCACCATCCTCAAACAGTAGTTATAGCTTCACCTGACCATCATAACTCAAATCGTAAAGCTTGACATAGCAGGAGTTAGAACTTCTTCAAGCAGGTATAAAGGCAACAGGTTCGCTTTTGCTCTTTGAAATCCTACTTTATGTAACAGATGAAAATTGTGTATCTGTCTGTCTGTCCATTACAAAGTTCAATATTCCTTTTGAAATCAACGTATAACGTTAAACGTTTAATAAAGGTGGTCTGACTGATTTAGACTATTTTTCATTTCCTTTGATTGTCCCTCAATTATGTGGGATGGATCTCATCGACCCACAAATTGTTATCATAGAGAGCCGTACTGTTTCAATATGAAGGAACAAAAAGGTTCATTGAATTCGATTTGAGTTCCCTTTTCTAGCTCTTTCTTGACAGCTCCTTTTGTAGAAAACTTAGTGATGAGCATGACTCACCGTCGAATCTTTGTGTGGATTTTTCGTAATAGTAAGCGGAATTCGTTGATGGGTGCAGCCAACTTTATTACCAAAGTTTGTAATTTATTAGCAATCATCTGGAATTCATGCTGGCAACCTTTGTTTGAAGGTGATAACAGCAACAGTGATGAAACTTTAGCTACCATGACATAACTCACCTCCGAATAAGGTATATACCTAACTATTATACTTGTGCTACACTCAATCACAGCCAGAGGGAATACGGTATTACCCTCATGTCATGTTATTTCATAGAATGGGAGCTAAAAGTTGAGCCCTCAGGAGAAACTAGAAGGGGAGGAGGGTGTGGAGAGGAGGTGGGAGGGTTAGGAGGTAAAAGATGAGGGGTGCACCGATCCCACGTGGGAAAACGCTGACATAAGTCATATCACTATCAGGGTCTAAAGTACCGAGCTTCAGTCTCACGCATTATTTCATTTCTCAGCACAACATCATTTTCGACTGTAGCCGTATAGTTAGTTGAATAACCTCNAGGGTTAGGAGGTAAAAGATGAGGGGTGTACCGATCCCACGTTGGAAAACGCTGACATAAGTCATATCACTATCAGGGTCTAAAATACCGAGCTTCAGTCTCACGCATTATTTCATTTCTCAGCACAACATCATTGTCGACTGTAGCCGTATAGTTAGTTGAATAACCTCCTTGAAATCTCCTGCTCTGCCTTTAACATCCTCCAGCGAAGAGGTGACATCCGTTTGAACGCATCCGAGACCTTCGCCCACGCGGTAGATATTCGTTACCGCATTCATAGCCGGTCCCTAAAAGGGAAAGTCGATAATGACTCCATTTAGTGTTGATATAGGTGATAATGCACCTCGAACGACATCGATATCATCAGAAGAAGGAGTAAAGTGCGAACTTTTGTGCTAATCATACGGTGCACCGCAAGCATGAAGTAACTCATCAACTGAAATGTATTGTATAGCAGCAGGCTAGAATGCTCAGCTCTCAAGAGTTTCATCTATAAAATACGATCCAATACTGTCTGTTATATAGGGCCAGAACTCACTGGTGGGAAAACGAACATTAATGCGAGAAAAGTGTGAATGACAATTGACACCACCGTGCCCAACCTGAACTCGAAGAGATTTGAAGGATCTGTGGAAAATGCCTGATTCTCGCACATCAGATGCTGGTCTACTCTCCCATACCAATTGAAGAAAATCAAAACAAAGACATATACTCACTTTTCTGGATTGTTAACATATTTGTAAGAGAAGACGATGTACATAACCATACCGAAAACTTCCACTATGACGACGTTTCTTATCAGACGCACCACCGCATATTCTCTTAATTCAGCAGAATGTGAAAATAGTATGACTGAGCCAGCAATAAACAACATGTTCAAAAACAAACAGTGTTCCTTTGCTGAAGATGCGATCGTAAAAAGTGTAGGCGACAAAGTTCTCCCTCCATGGTGGATAGAAACATGACAACTTCCTCTTGATTGCTTGTGTAGTCGTCAAGATCTTCCCGAGGCCGAGTTGTTCCCTGAAAGAAACGGTATGAAGAACGCATAGCACGCATATAATTTTGCTAACAAGAAATTGATGCTATGAATGTGCCTGTACTTTTGAACGCTATGACTTTGAAAGTTCATAAAAAACAAGTAGGAGCTTGGCAATACGTTTTCGGAGCATTGTAATGATGCATCTTTATGAAGACACAGTTCACGATAACAATATTTTGCCACTAGGATGAATCTGAGGCCCGCCAGTATGCCACAAGTGACACAGTAAGATCAGAAAACGGCATAGATAGGGCGCAGTGCCATAAATGCCAAAATATTGTGTCGGCTGCATGCCACCCCCAAAAGCGGACGAGTTTCAACGACGTTGTAAGAATCTTCAAACAATGCATCTAATGAAGTGAATCGAAAGTGAGAAAAAAAACAGCGAACAGCGTAACTAACCTTTTTGCGTTTTCAGCATCGAACAAGAACTTATGCATCTAATGAAGTGAAGCGAAAGTGAGAAAAAAAAAACAGCGAACAGCGTAACTAACCTTTTTGCGTTTTCAGCATCGAACAAGAACTTGTTCAGGGCTGCATGAGCTTCACGTTTAGCTTTGAAGAGTTTCCATATCGTCATTCTTCAAACCCTCACGGGAATCGGAGTGGCGAAAGGGAAGTATCAGAGGTGGGGAGTTATCGGAAGGCTTCCGGATTGGATGTGATTTGACTGACCTCTCTGCTTTGAAGAGTTTCCATATCGTCATTCTTCAAACCCTCACGGGAATCGAAGTGACGAAAGGGAAGTCTCAGAGGTGGGGAGTTATCGGAAGGCTTCCGGATTGGATGTGATTTGACTGACCTCTCTGGAGAAGCTGATTAGCTAAAGTAATCATTCCTTCACGCACTAATGCTATCTACTGATTACTTTTCAAATGCTCTATTTACAAACTTCGACTCTTTATAATGAGGTAACACGAGATGATAGCGATAAGGTTTTTGACGATGATTAGCTCCGCTGTAATGCGCTCCCGTATCCAACTTTTGCCCAGAATTCTGGCATCGATTCGAATGCGTATGTGGTCGTGGCTATGCACGTATGTAGTGCACCACGTGGCCCTACACCACCTCCGTATATCCGGCTAAAATGCTGGACAAAATGATATTTTCAAGGATTTCGATTCACTACGAGATATTCAAGGCAACCAACGGTAATGCGCTCGAAGGAACGGGAAACGCTCCTGTTCCCCGTTGGGCATGGATATTTCTTCACTTCTCAAGTAATGTCGAGTGTCTCCTTGAAAGCACAAACAGGCCATTAAAATATCTGATACACGGACATTTTAGGGAACTTCGTAGCCGCATTTATATTATATGGTGCTCGGACATTTCAGTATTCCGTAGCTCACCGTCGCTGCTCTGATAATCCTAGTTACGACGGCTCATGTGACGAGCTATCAGATCAAAAAAACCAGACAAATCGTGCAGTAGGGGTGTAGACCATCTGAGTTTATCGCCTTGTATACCACAGCTCTGCAGGACTCATTACAATTGTAAGTGGTTGTAAAGCCTTCTAGGGCATTGCGCGTGGAGAGCCGTCCTCAAGTTTTATGATAAGACGAGGACTATTCGTGGTTTGTACTTACCTAACTTTACCAAGTTGATGTTGCAGGACTCTCACAAATGCCCGTGTGAGGATTGATGTTCAAGTAGGAATTTGCAGCACAAACAGGTAGTCTATCGTCTGCATCGATCTACTCTTGTTTCAGGGAGAACGGATTCTGATGGATGGAACGGAATTCGTCAAATCTTCAAAGGATCCTCAAGCCGGGCACGCACTCTGAGACAAAAGTGAAAATAACCTTTGTGAAAGGAATTCGTGACGATTCGTGGAGATCATTCTGCCGAAATGGGAAGTCAACCTAAGGATTCTGTGACAAAAGTGTTATCCTGGTTATATCATGAAATGGAGCTTTCAGCGAACAATTATAATAGTGTTAAATAGAATTACTAAAGTGGTGTACCGAGCATCGCTTCATGCTTGATGGCCATATGGAATGCCTCCGTCATTCAATATAGTAACCGTCTGCTCGGCGCATCCTGAAATAGTGAGTGGATGGAAAACACACAATCTTTTTTCCATTTTTCTTTATAATTTATCAGTTGCGGATAATACGTGCAATTGGTCTGCGCTCCTTCCAAATTAAGTGAAGTGCTGTCAAATGAACTTTAGTGTCCCTCCGTCTTCACCTCGGTGTTGACCTCATGGTGATTACTTGCCAAGAGGAAGCGCTAAAGTGTGAACTCATCATCTTTGCCTCAAGGGACCTTATCACTTCATGTATGGCGCTAGGAGTAGCCGATGGAGTCAAAGGCGGAGAAATCGACAAAACCATATATAAGATCAGGGACTGACCTCAAATGTCTTAGCACTCTGCTCTGATCAGTGTGAGTTTTAGACTTCCCCATCATCATCTTTTTCTGAATAGAAGCACGATGTATTTTTTTTTATTTTATCGAAGATTTTACAGGAATAATCAGAGTTTGCGAAGCTAAATTTGTTCTGGATTCAAAAGCGACTATGGATACATCAGTTGAAGTCAAAGACGAGGTGAGTCACCTACCAGTTCTAGGCTTTCTATTTTGTCGTTAATACAAGGACATTAACCTAACAATTGGTCAAAAGTAGTACTTATGGCCTTCGTTCCTCGGTTCACTATACCTCAACTTCACTATTCGTATTTCTCTGATCATTTTCCTCACTGTGACGCCGACTACCACTGAGTTCGGGTAGAGGCTACCGCAAAATCAGGGTGCAATATGGTAGGGTAGGATACAGTACCATTAGCACAAATATGAGTCTTATTTTTGGTGAACATCAAGAGCTTGCCTGGCCCCTTGTCTTTTCGCAAAGTCCCAAATGTAGATTTTCAATTAGACCATGCGAATTCCCTCCTTTCGCAGGCTCCCAAATGTGGATTTTCAATTAGACCACGTGAGCTCCATTCCTTTAGGCTCCTTACACAACCTTTCAAATTATTCTGCAGTCCCTTACGTCATGTCCTTCTCATTGTTTCCTTCCTTTTCTGTTCTGGCTTTGAACAGGCTACTTGTCATGTCGTGCTACTCGTCTTCCTAGTTCGCTTTCATTGCCGCCAAGAGCATTACCAGCTGTTCTTAGTGAACACCGTTCATTTTCTCATCTCTGTCGCTCTGTACCCATAATCTGACAAGCCTCAGGGTAGCTAGTAAAACAGAAATAGATTTGTTTCATTGATGCAAGAAGTTGAGCATTTTTTCCTGAAATGACCAAACATATCCCTGAAGAATCTTCGTTTCAGCCTGCGTCGGTGGAGAGGCCCGACTCTACAAACGCACCAACAAGCTCGTACACCAGCGTTATTCATAATGGTGAGCTATTCTTTCAATATGGTAAACACGAACTCAATCCAACAGAAAAGTCATAGCGGCTTCGCTCCTGACAGAGACACTTTCCTCCCTACCACTAATCACCAAGTGGTAACTTTAGGCAAAAGTTTTTAAAAGAAATGGGAGTTGTGAAGGAAATCTTTCGATAAGTCATCGCTAGCAATTTATCCTCCTATATATTGCCACTGCTGATCTATTTTTGTAATTCTGAGAATGTCGGAAAAGGAGGAGAATTTTCGAAGCAACCCTCGAGGATTTTCCGGTAATCGACACCTTCCGATAGGTATCCCTTAACCGGGGACTGGGCAGACCCAAAGGAATCTGGGGAGAAGGTTTAGACCTTTCTCAACCGGCTCTGCGGAACTTCTTGAGCATAACTCATTTAAAAAGATGAAGAGGTTGTAAACCCATGATTTTCAGAGTTCTTTACGTCAACACCATATTTCGGCTTCGGGCGCACCCAGCTTCCAGCAATCACATCAATTTATTCACCATTCGCGAAGTATTACGGAGTACAAGAGAGCTCTGCAAGGTTCTCACAGGATACCTCATCATCTGCTTCTTTCGATTTGTCTACCGGCACTGATCAGTATTCACCTCCACCCAAGCTGGTACCCTTTACTGCCAATTTGGTTAGTTTCTCCAACAGTTTGACTACTGCGTGGAACTCAGATCTGTTACAAGAGCCGAATAGATCTGAACTTCTATCGCTTGTTACACTTTGAATAGAGGCGATCATAACGTAATGGCATTATTTTGGAATTTTTTTCAGGGTTACAGTTTTGATAGTCCGTCCTACACTTTGAAACCCTTCAGCTCTACTCTACAGGTAGGTGTATACTGCTCTAAGGGAAAGAGAACGCCAAATGGCTACTCCGAAGTATTCTCAAAAAAGGTGGTATGGTAGGCGCGTTTTTAGGGTGAATTAACCTACGTGGAAATGAAGGCTGGATTTTATTTTTTATATAGATATGCAAATGGATTAAAAACTATAGAATTACTGTTTCGCTCAGTTACAGTCATAGATTCTGTTATACCCTATGATTTCAGTCGGATTCCGGTATTTCATCTGGGGCATCGTCACTCAGCACACCGTTAGGTCGAAACACTGTCAGAGGCTACAAGAAAACTTACTGCTCCATTTGCAAGATGCACATTAACAAGGATGGCAAGAGAAGTCAAGGTGAGTGGACAAGACCTCTTTGATATTGAAATAGAGCTAAGGTGACAAATTTCTTATTTCTCCACCCTGGGATGGGACTGGGTTCCTCTTCACTAGGCAAAACATTACAGGCTTCCTCTCTGATAAGGGCACAGCTCTACTGAATCCTGGGAGAGATCGGAACCATCTCATCAAAATACCTAGCGGGGACGGGATGAGTTACAGGCAAAAAACATGAGTTTGACCTTGAACCGACCCCGATCAGGAAACCTTTAAAGATCAGGCTTTGATCACATATGTTTTCCCAAAGACCAATTCTTTTCAGGGCCACGACGTCATCTGCTTCAGTATCACGTACGACGGCCCTTATTTCAATGCCCCCATTGCTCCCATGCCTCATTTTATGACAAGTTCCACGTGACTTCCCATATGCGGCGAATTCATCAGGTACTGAATCCGTTTTGCAAGTACAAACCTAAGGAAACCCCCTTTTGTCGTTTTCAAATTTTCATGATGACCGAGTCGAGATTCATGTGCTTTTAGGACAACTCAGAACGACTCATTAACAGAAGTTCAGAGTTTGAAGATGAAGTGGAAGAGTGGTATGAGGTAAGTTGAGTGTTCCTTACTATTCGGATTATTATTATTCTATTATATAATTATTAAAAATTATTATTCTATTTAATTGCTGGCGATACAGCAGTTGAAGGAGGTCAACAGGACAAGGCTAGGCCTGTGTTGAAAGTGTTTAGAACACTCCCATTTCGAGATAGAGCAATAACCTGATATGTGCATGATCATATCACTACCTATTTAACACCTAATAATCAGTGGTTCTGCTTGCTCACACCTCCCTCTTTACGCCTTCCATCAAACTCAAACTTCTGCATGAACTCTAAGTAGATGACGAAAAATATTCTTCTCAATTTCAGCGCTGCTTCGGTGAAAGGAGGAATAGCAACGGGAATGACATGAGACAGAGCTCACAGAAGTCTCTCGAGTGAGTCTTTTTTCATGTGGTTGCTCGAAACTACACGAGCATTTGAGTGGGATGCAAGAGACGGATCCGAGGCTGTAACCAATTAAGTAGCGGCACAGTGTTGCCTCAGTATCGACGTTTCGAGAAGTATGGCCGCGTATATCAGCTCTCTAAACCTCATTATAACCAATTTCAGCCCTAGCCGGTCAAGTTTCTCACCGCCTCCAGTGCTCACCCCGGAAGTTCCCGATCAAGAAAATGTTGATCCATGTACAGTTGGAGTCGTGGACTTACCTGAACTATTCTCAGATGCTACTCTCCAAGCTCCGTTGAAAAAGCGGAAAATGGGTTTCATGATAGATGATATTCTAGAGGTAAAGTTCCTTTCCAACCTTTCTGTTTGACTCTGTTGTTCTCTGACGGATTAGCGATACCGATGCTTTGACTACTGCTCCCAATGTTCCTCACCCTTTCCATTATATCGAGGAAGATCCAGAGCGGTTCTGAGATGTGATCTCATCACATCTCTGTTGATCTGCACCCTTTTATGATCAGTTTATTGAGCAAATATACCTAGATAGTCTGACTTGACCAGGTTTGGAAGCACCAGAATTTCATCTAAGAAGAATTGTTTTCAGCTGGATCCGGTGGAAAAGTCGACCTCATGAATTGTAAAAGTGGGCTCGCTGACGACTTCTGAACCCGGTCCTTTCGGACTTCAATCTGCCTTAGGAGGCTAATTTTTAACTAAGTTTCTTTGTTTTCCTTTCGGTTGTTGAATATCGGTGTTTTAGCATAATTTAATTTGTCTGTATTATATTGTACCTCATTTTTTATACTTAGGTATTGTTCCTTATTTATTGAAAATAAAAAAAAAATAAAAAATGATAAACAAGAGATGTTAAGAAATAACAAATAAATCCCATTTTATTAAAGATATAAAAAATCTTATTCTGTCCCACTTCACAAACTTCCTCCTAGTCCTAAATTGAGCTACAAATGCCAATGTATGTTTTACAAATTGAAAGGGACAGTAAACAGAAGTATCACAGTGTCTGAGGTGGATCTCAGGTTCCTCTGGTCAATCACTAGGTAAAAGTCACAGGCTTTAAAAATGGATAACGATCTGTACGTGGAAAGAGTTGGTGGATCCGAAAACTCGGACATGTACTCGGACGGAATAAACAAGCTCTAAACGAGAAGAAAACATCAACATGCCGCGAGCTCATGGAATTAGGCGATTGTTGACGTACGACGCAAATATACTAACACTTCCGTCGTAGCTGTTCAAATTTAACTGAAACTACTGGTTTCCCATGTCTTGTTCTCACGGGTGTTCTTCGAATGCGAATGAAATCGTGCCGCAAAATCCAAAATTCTTGGCGTGTTTAGAAGCTTTCTTCAGCGCAATTCATTTTTCGAAAGACCATCTCTATTCCATTGAAATTTATTGTGTGTATTACCTCGTGTATTGTGTTGCATATGGTACAAAGTTGTGGCAAGAGGAGTCTCAGAGTAGCATCTGAGACCACAAGACTGATTTTGACAAGGAACTTGTATCGTTTCGGGCTCGAAGGTCTGATAAGAGGCAGGAAATTCTGGCTCCCTAGACAAATTGGCGGCTTCCTATGTAGCTGGAGCTGGTCTGAACCCACCACATTGGCCCCCTCTTGACATCACCTCTAGTAGGCTTTATTATGGGGTTTTTCGACTTGACAATGCTAGCAGAAGCTGATGGGATGCAGATTTGCATGAAGTAATCCATCTATTCAGTGTAAAGGTAGTAGTCAAGAGCAGTAACTCACTTCTCCAATAATTTTGCTTGTTATCTCCCACGTTTAGGCTCTCAGAATTGACGAGTGTCTCTTCCACTTCTGTTGGGCGATTAATCTAGACGAATAAGCTAAGCGAGGTGTGAGTAGCCACAGTTCTTCATACAATTAGATAACTATGTACATTTGACATTATGAGCGCTGATCAATACCATTACTATTTATACAATACCCTTGCCACTGACAGGTTACTTTTTAACGCAGAGTGAAAGATTACCATCTTATGAATCATCATATCTCCAGTAGTAAGTTATCCACATTTCTTCCCTTCATGATGAACTCTGCGCATTTTGACGCTGGTGCACAGTACAGCACTGGCTCCACTAGTGGAAAGGGCCCTCAGAGTAGTATTTATCGACGCTGGTGCACAGTACAGCACTGGCTCCACTAGTGGAAAGGGCCCTCAGAGTAGTATTTATCTGCCGAAACCAGATCATGACGATCAAATGCAAATAGTATCTGTCAGAAAAACCTCTCCATAGTCTCTTCAAAATCCACACAGCTAACCTTCAAAGGTACATTGGATGATACGCATCTTACTATTAACAACAATTTCGACCTATCACCCTTTCCCCTCATGTAAAGACACTTCCATTGACTAGTAGATTTTAGCAATCTATGTATATAAACCGAACATCGGAGTAAAGGATGAAATCTTGGAGCGTTGACCAATCAAGTCTGAGGGGTGCGCCGCCTCATTGGACGTCCATTCAGAATCGGATTAGAGTATTGAATGCGCATGTGGCCTATACAATGATTTGTTGTGGCCAGCCTGTGTACAAGCCAGTGCTTATACTTCCCAGGCGAGTGGGTTTCAATTAACCGATCTCAAGGGATGGAATGCTTGTGCGGTCTAGGCGGATATCGCCCTGAGATTGGACTCGTGACAATGGGTAGAGGTAGAGTGCCACTCGCCATTACACCACTTCCGCCCATAAACTGAACGTTACGGATAGGAAAATGGAGGACAGAAAAGTGGCTGCTAGTTTTATTGCATTCTGCATTCCACCTGAAAAATGGTTTTTTCTAGCTGCATTGTCAAAGTTACCCCCTTTCTAGCAATGGGTACCCCCTTTGAATTGTATGATCGAATATAAAAGTACGAGTCTCTCTTCAGTGGAAGCTGGTCCGGCGTAAAACTGTGCCTATCCAGCGAGGGAAAGCAAGCAATGTGGCCTCGCTGATCTGTTTGTTGCACTCAAGAGTTCAGAACGGTCACAAGACGAATTTTGGCTTCGGCTCATAGTTCCTGCACTTCTCAAACTTTTCAATTCCGAGNTGTTCCAGAGCTAGTTGTGTGTAGTTTTTAAGGTCCCCCATTTCTGTACCGATGTAATCGTCGTGTGCGGGTGCCGAGTCGTTATCGATCATTGGAGATCCTCACGTGAGCGCTGCATGGCGGTCTCGTTCCACTCATCGGTAACAGTCCCGGTAGAGATTTATCCTTTCTGTTATCATTCATCTCCTACCATAGGTCCATTACTGCTGTCAAAATTGAATTGCATATGCCTTCAGTGGATTGATTCTGGTTTATTTGATCACGTCACATGCTAAGTGCTTACTGTATATGTAGTTTTTTCTCTCAATTCCATTGATGAAGGTAGTCGCCATCGTTTACTTGAACGGTTTCTGGAACTACTTCATATTGTCGTCTTCTGAGTGGCCTGCTCTGGAACAGCATGCTCACTAGCTCGGTGGCACAAAATAGGGGTAAAAACCCATCTTTCATCCGACGGGGCCACATTCAGTTCTCGTAATCAGTGAAGAGGTATAATCCGTCCTTTATAAGACCATAACTCATATAAATATTGACCAGAACTTCCACTACTGTTTATTTGGGTAGGCTGCACCGCGAATCTGATGCTCAGTTGACCACAGTAGTCTCGCTACACACCGTTTCTTTGCTGCCCAAAACACCAACCCATTGAAGCCATGTTAATTTTGGAGCGGAGTGAAGAGACCAGTGAAGCGGTCAGTTGCTTATCTTGGCCTGTTCTCTTAGGCCGCTTTGTACCCTAAACACCGCACCTTAAAGTGTAATTTGTGTTGTATCAAGACTATATTCATTTGAGAGCCTGGCCCTTTCCTGTCACCACCCATTACTGTGCATGCTCCGCCTTCAGCAGTCGGGCTCCGCTGAGCTCACATGTGCTCTGCTGATCTAGCTCTTTGCCCAACCCATTCCAAACTTGACCTGGGTGCTTCTTCAGGTAATATAAAATTTCGTGGCAGATAGACAGATCCGAGCGCATTACATGTAAGTAGCAGGGATCTCAGTCGGATGGCCAAGCTTACGCCAGACTCCCTCATTTCTGTGGCGGTGTCAGAATGAATGTACCTGGCTGATAGGCCATTCTTCATTTGAGACATGGTTTATTCTTGATCAAAAATTTCTCGGAAAGAAAACGAGCGAAATTGTGTGGGAACTGTAAGTCTGACTCAGAGCCCTGACGAGGGAACAACTGGTTTTCAGTGCAAGGCGAGGACGACCTCTATTAACGATAATCTTCAATAATTAGTCAACCGAATCGTCTCAGGGCATCACCTAGTAGTGTCGGCTGACGTCGTTATCAGAATTCGTGGTTCATGCCCTTCCATGCCCTTCTATACTGATGACTCTGAAGTCTTGGTCGAAACTTTAGATTGCTGAGGCTAAGCTCTTTCGCGGATGATACCGAATTGAGTGGGAACGTGGTCGCTTGTTGAGCAGCAGACCGTTATGTGCATAGTAGTGATCAGATAGCAATAATGAAAAAACCTAAATTTCTTTCCATATGTAGGACTGACTCTGAAGACTAATTAGCCCTTATCACTGCACTCATCCTTCACTTCCTGTCAACCTACTCCACGATCCCTTCTTATCTAGGAAAGAAGATGTCATCAGTATATCGTTAAAAACGATTAGAAACTAAGTGAACCGTAGCTTTTAGGTTTTATATCCGTTTTTATCAATCCGTATCATTTGCATATCTTCATTATTACATGCCACACCTTACTTCCCATATTGAACCAGAAGGGCTCCACTGTGAATAAAGGAGGATCCGATGGCTCTTACACTTTAACATCCTTGACCGCCTCTTAACGGTTGCTATCATTTTCTTCTACCACCCATTTCCGATTCTGGCTTATCTCACATCACCCATCGAAGTGTCAAGAGTCCGCCCGTAATGGGGAGGGGAGAGCAGACTCAGTGGCCGTCATCCTCCACGACGCTGCCGACGCCACATCACTTTAACAAACTGTTAAAACCCCATGTTAATGCGCAAAGTGCAATTATTCTAGTGACTCGTGCATTCTAGAGCTCATTATCTGTCCTTATCAGTCTTTATCACTTCCTGGCTTTTACCATCAGTGATCACATCCCGTCGCCCGTCCTTCTCAGATTGGTAAGTCTTGGTTTGAAGGGAATAGAGATTACAAATTTCCAGGAGTACCCAACATATGCCATGAGTTGTACTTCCCGGGGTTACCTAGGATGTGATCTAATGTAGGAAACGAAATTCGAAAAGTGCGAAACGAACTAGGGAAAATTGGGCCTCCAGGATGCCGCGAATAGGGATGCGTACTGTCTGGACTTGGACTGTCTCAGGGAACTGGCACCTAGTGCTGTGAACAGGCAGCAGTGACTTCTTCACATATGTATTGCAGGCCTTCCACCAAGGTGGGAAAGGTAAAGGGATTGAAAAATTGCTGAGTAATCTCGACCTCGATTTGAGAATGTCAACGTGTTGTCTACTCAAAGTGAAACTCTCAACGGCAAGCACTAGTTTTCCCTTTTTCCCGATAAACGAGCCCAGTGCACAAATAAATAACAGGCATGCATTTACAGACACCAT